CCCCCAGCCTGTACTGGTGCCTGGGGTTCGACCTCCCCAGGTGCAGCACTTCACACTTGCCCTTGTTGAATTTCGTCATGTTCCTCTCCACCCAACTCTCCAGTCTGTCCAGGTCCTGCTGAATGGCAGCGCAGCCTTCCGGCGTATCAGCCACTCCTCCCAGTTTTGTGTCATCAGCGAACTTGCTGAGGGTACACTCTGTCCCCTCATCCAGGTCATTGATGAACAAGTTGAAGAAGACTGGGCCGAGTACTGAGCCCTGGGGAACTCCACTAACTACTGGCCTCCAACTGGACTCTGCCCCACTGATCAGAACCCTCTGAGCCCTGTCATTCAGCCAGTTCTCAATCCACCTCACTGTCCGCTCATCCAACCCACACTTCTTGAGCTTCCCTATGATGAACCATGTGCTTTGCTACATTCAAGGGATCCCCAGTTTGCTGCTGACAGCAGTAGACCAAGGACTTCAGAGCCCATGCTGGAAGGGATCACACCCTGGGGAGCACAATCCTTTCCAGTCACCCCAAGGAGCCCTGTCCCTCCTTCGGATCCATCCTACTCAACCCATCCCTCTGCATTCTCCTTCCCTACCCAGCCACCTGCCCTGTCCTTGTTTGTCCAATTCCAAGTTTGTGCTCCAAAGCCTCGGGCACCAAGGCTTCACAGCCGAATCCCCTAGATGATTATTCTTAGTATTTTTAATCAGGAGCAAACCAACTTATTTTTCTTTAATCACCTTCTTGGAAACAGCAAGACTTGTTTTGGCTGCAATCTTCTCAAACTTTTCATCTGTTGTAGACACCTAATAGGGAAAGTTTAAGGCCAAAACCTTAAAGTTCAGGAAAATCACAAGCAATTGAAAACAGCCTTGTATTATTTACAGGAAATCCAACACAACCTTAATAGACAGTGCTGTCAGTTCTGCTAATAATTAAAGGGCAGCAATCTATTACATTATTTTTAGTTATGCCCTTACTCTCCTACACACGAGGGTCTTAAAATATCCATGCATCTGGGAAAAGTCTTTTTCCGTGTCAGCACTTGGATTCTGTCCCATGGGATAAATTTGCCACACGCATACAGCACTAGTACCAAAACCATTTTAACTCATTACTTATATAAATCAAAACACAGGGAAATCGCCCCTGTGCAATCAGTTTAATTACATTCTCTCCCCACCCGCCTCTGCTATGGATGTGATAGATCGGAGCTCTAACAAAGCTGAAATTCAGAGTGCTGAGGGAGGACTCGCTCAGCTCTGGTCGCACATGCTCTCCAGCTCCTGGGAGGTCCGAGTGAAAGTCTGAATGAGTTCAGTGGGTACGTCACGGTGAAGTCTTTGGACACTTAAAAGCGCTGGCAACGGAAAAGCCTTAAAAACCTCAAACAAACAAACCACTGAGCTGACATTTATTTCCGAACAAAGAAACCCTACCTAGCACCCTGTGTCCGATGATCCTGGCCATGAAGCGTGTTGGGGGAGGGGGGGGGAGGGGGTAAGGGAAATTTCTATGGCAGCAGCAGCTCCCCACCACCCCGGTGTGCGGGACTGAATGAGGTCCAGGGCTGGCACACGCGGTGCATGGTGGCAGCTCTCCAAAAGTACATGATTGACGTCAGTAACTTGTGTAATCATCCTGCCTTAGCTTGAGTCTATAAACAAAGTTTTGGGGGGTTGTGTGTTTTTTATTTTCTTTTTCATCCAGCTCTCGGTAGTTGTATTTTCTCATAGGACTGGAACAGTGAAAATATTTGGAGAAACCTCCACCATAAACTAAACTGCAGCAATCTGAAAGGTCTGCCTGCCATCGAACCTGTCCTCCTGAGCCAGAAACCTACTACTGGATTTGCTTGTATCTTAAAGAAAGCCACCACTGGAACTCCTTGAGAAAAGTCTTTAGAAAGCCTCAAAACAGTACAAATCAGAGCCAAAAAAATACCTCACTGATTATGATTGATTTCCCCCTTCCCCAACAGCCTTTTTTTATTGCAAGTCTAGCAACAGACTGTACCTTCTAAAATCCTGGGAGAAATCCTCAGCTAGGGTAAAACGTCACAGCTCCATCCATACCACTTGCGATCAGATCTCTTGCACGTAAAAGGTGAGTTTTGCCTTCCTAAAGGCTAAAACATCAGGGTAGATTTTGTCTTCTTTAACGCATACTCAATGCAGTCATCTCAAAGCAGCTTTGTTTCAGCTTTGTTGTAATATTGACAGATGATTTTGGCTACACAGCAACTGCAAAATCTGTGCACTGATGAATGTTGCTCTGCAATGTTACCTGATGTTCTCCAAGTGATTTACAGAAAGCAAGATAACAAACATAGTGCTTGCTTTCTTCAAAGCGATTTTTGAATCACATCTAATTGATCTTCAAAACAAACTCTGCAGGATGCACAGCAATACTGTCCTCATTTTCAGGAGGAGAAATGGATGGGACACTGTAATGCTTTAAACAGGGCCATAGTTAAGAGAACCTGGACTGGAGATGGAAACAGCTTTTCTCTTTCCAAAGGTAATTCCAGTGAAAAGTGCTTCAGCGAATTTGCATATCTTCACTTGCAATTATTTTCTGGCACTGTCATGTCTCAAATCCCTTGCTTTTTATTTTTTTCTCAAATCCATACTACTGCTCCTTCTCCCTTTCAAACTGAATATATACACAGTATATATATCCCCATATTCCTTGACAGCCTTTTATGTTTTCTGCTACAAAACTGACAAAAGATCCTGATGTGGATGAACGGCAACAATGACAGCTTTAAAAAGTATTACTGGAAAGCCAGAAGTTTAAACTGTACTGCCTTTCCACTGTCTGCACCACAGGTATTGATCCTTGCCTTGGTGATGGATGTCCACATCCTTGTTGATGTATTTCTCAAAATTGTGATAAAGATGTTCAAGGATGAAGGCCAGTTGGTTATGGAGGATGAGACCACATACATTACTGCACAAGAAACTCTGAAATTGTGTCACCTAAAAATGGTATTGATATGAGGAAGAAAGACTTAAAAAGCATCATGCCTACCTTGTTGATGTGCAGTTGCTGTTGCTGAAATTGCTGTTTGTGTTTCTCCAAGAACTGCTGGTGCTGCTGCTGGATCACTAACTGCTGGAGGGCCTGGGCATTCTGGGGAAGGGGAGCAGACTGCGTGCGCCCCAGCGGGCGATGCTGCCGGAGTTTGTGTATTGAAGGGGAGACCCTTTCTCCACCAACCAGAGACTGTGCATGGAGGGGCAGTCCTGAAAGATACCAGTCTGAAGATAATATGGAGGAAAAAACAGCAGAGAAGGAAAAAAGGAAGAAGAAAGGAAGGGAGAAAACGTCTGTTGAGTAACGCTGATGGTGACAATGATGTCGTGACAATGACAACGTTAAAACCAGCCACCTCGCCATTTACAGCTGAAGCATCCTTAAAAGAGATCAGATAACAATTAATTATCATTGGACAGAGTAATACTTTGCTTTATTTTGAATTCTTTGTTTGCTTGTTTACTCAAGAGACCCTAGAGAAATGTTTCATTTCTTAAAATCAGCGATACTTTATGGACCCTTCCATTGCTCGGTGGGTGACATGAACTTAGATCACAGTGGTAGTTTGGAGAAGTTAAAGCCTTACAGCTTGCCTAGGTATAGGGAGTAATCCTGGGTTCACTTCTAGGAAAGCAGCAATCCAAGTTGCCACCCCAGAGCATCCAGCCTTTACACCTTACAGGAGGTTCACTGGATCTGCTGAAGGATTATGGATGCTGATGAAGCTGCTTCCCACTCTAGACCACACAGGGGAAAATGTCTGCCCTTGGCTGTGCTACGCTCCGCCCCATAGAAATGACTAGGGATGAAAACTTCCACGTGATAAACCCCCGACCAGGTTTGCATTGGAGAAAGGCATTCGCTTGAAGCATTTCAGGAATATGGGAGTCACCAGGCTTCATTATTTCGGTAGAAATAAGCTAAGTTAGAGGCCAAGATGACAAATAGCTAGAATGGTTTCCGTCACAATCTTGTGTATAGATGCTAGTAACTTAATGGAAACATAGGTTATTTTGGGATAACTTGTGTTACTCACATGCCTTTGTAATTTGGGTGTCTCTGATGACTACCATGTGAAATACCTATCTGAGCTCCGATAAGGGCACCTCTTTAGGAATTGTCTTGCCTTTTTAGCTGTTCTTGGGGTAAGCCAGGTCTTGCTCTCCTCTCCCAAAACATACCTTCACATACTTCTTAGAAAGCTGGCACATGAAGACACACTCAACACAAAGCCCAGCCTTTGGAGGAGTTGAGGATAAGCCTTTACTTTTGCTCGTTACACCTTGGGATAGAAAGGCATCATGGGTGTGAAGTGCTGTCTCCCTAATGTGGATAAGGCTGCACACACTAAGAAAAAAGTACTCGTTTGTTTTACCTCATTGTATAAAACAAACTAAAGACTGCACAAGTGGCCAGTAACATTCAGAAGTACTGCCCAGTTCAAGCATCAGAGAAGCTGTATCTTCTTTTTCTTCAGTCTTTGGTCGAGAAGAGAGAGAAGCTGCCCAGAAGTCTGCAGCCAGCTGAATACAATCGGTAAGAAACACCTTGACATTTCTGTCCCAGGACATTACCTACTTTTTCCCACTGATTCACAGAACTGCTCTATGTGGAAGAAACCAACCCATTTAAAAGCCTCTCTTCTTTGAGAAAGATTTACCAAGTTTCTTCCACCCTTTGCTTTTCTGAAAAGAATCACGTAAAAGTGTATCTTATGTTATAAATGCGTGCCTCTATAAACGCGTGCGTGTATACACACACACACACGTATGTCTGTGTGTGTATGAATATATGAATAATTTGGAAAGATGTGGTCCATTTCCCTTATAGCACAGTTCCTCTTACCAAAAGTTAAAATTAACAGAGGAAGGGATCCTATACAGTTTGCACAGGACACCCTGGAAGACTACTTTCCTCCAACTGAATGACTAAGGTCCCCCTGTGAAAGCTTTCCAGGGTGATGACTTGTTCCTACTCCAAACATACATGTCAATGTGAAGGATATTATCCAGAGTGATCTGTCACCATAGGAATGGCAGACCTAAGGAATTCTGCTCTAGTTTCCCAAACCCCCCATGTCTACCTTCCGGCACAGAAAGACCATGCCATCGTGCTGGATCATTTCGCAGCTGTTGGGAGACTATCTCCAGAGCTGAAGGCTATCAGATGAATAGTAATAAACTCCACTTTGCTTCCAAGGAATTTCAAAGTACTAACTGTAGTTTGGCAGCCAGTCCACTTAGGGCTTTTGAGACCATGTATTAGCTTGCTCTCTTTCAGTTGCTGCATCTGGAACGTGTGTTTCTTCTTGTTGCTCTTTTGTATAGTGAGTATTTCTCCTAAGTGTTGGTTTATAACACGTTGTACTGACTCTGAAAACACCACACGTAGCAGGTGAACTAGAAGGAATACACTTGGAACAAACAGAGTACACTGTAAACTGAGGAAAGCTTTGAGAGAGGTCAAATCGGAAACAGAACAGCACTTCTTCCTACATGTGCTTTAAAGCAAATGTCAGCGCCAGCAGAGAAGAAAGTTTTAGTGATAGCATAAGCAGGGAAATCTTCCCCAACGGCTCTTCATGAACAGACCTTGGGCAAAGGGCAACTGGAGAAGAGCTATGTCATGACTCTGGGCAACCTCATCATGCCACAGCAACCATGGCAGAAGGAGGTAACAGAAACTTACGTAAAGGTTCAAGGAATCTGCAGACACCACTCTCTTGGCTCTGAGAGTGCTGGCTAAATACCACACTTTTGTGCTTCAGCTTCCCCATAAGCTTATCACAACCCCACGTATATTCCTGGGATGTGAATGTAAAACCAGACACAAGCCAAACCAGAGCCGTGCTGTAATGCTTCAGTGATCAACATCTCTCAAAGAGTTTCCATCAGAAATGGAATGAAAGAAATAAAAATCAACACATCTATAACTTACACAGAACACCTTTTGTCCCAACATTACACGCTGTAAAACAGAAATGTATCCTACTGGGGATTATTGCTCTGAATCAACCCTATTTATAGAAATATGCCTTCCCATAGGTACTTAATTCTGAAAATATGACACAGGGAATGATTCAAAGCAATTAGCATACTGAAAATGTAACATATACAAACAAATACAATCTGTCTGAATGCAGTTGACTTTGCCATGTTTTTGCCATTTATAATAATGATGAAAAGCAAGTATTTCAATCTGAGATTTTGTAAATGTGTGCCTTTCATATATGGAATAGAAACGATGCATGAAAAACAGGAAGGGTAATCATAAGACACAACGTTTTTGTCTCCACTTTAATATAAAGCGGATAGAGGTCTAACTATATAGTTTTAAATTGTGACCTACAAACTTATGCTTTAGTTATAGAAGCAAATACTATTTATTTCTACTAATATTCATTTTGCCAAAATGACATGGCAGCTTCCCCCTACCTCTGGAAGAGGTGAGCAACCTCTCATTTTGCAAATGCCACCACTATCCAACGCATCAACAAACACGTCCTAAAGGTTACATGGTATACCTACAAAACGTACAGATGATGCAATACCTCTCTTGTGCAGGAGAACAGACTTCACAAAAAACAACAGATGTCACTTGCTCTCTTTCCCCAGATGGGACTGAGTTTTGCACATTATCTACGGAGCGCTCACCTGTGACTAAGGGAGTTTGTGCAGTTGGCTGTTCCAGTAAGACCATGTGTTGCAGAAGAGGGTTATGTGCAGTTCCCCCATCTCTTTCCAACGTTGTAGTGCTCAAGTAGGGAGTGAGGTGAGTGCCAGGAAATAAAGAGATCCGTTGCTGTAAGGTTGGGATAGTAAGCCTCTCTGCATCCTGCTGTGCTGATCCTCCCTGCAAACACACAATTGATGGCACAGTGGGTTAAGGGATAAATCAGTGCAAGTAACACTTCAAAGGCTGCATCCCCCCACCACTTACACTGGAAGGGCCGGTTGCAGGCAGTCCTAGCGTGATGTTGGGCAAAGAAGGAGATGTGTAGAGCGGAAGCTGTGTTACCGAGCCTTCACGATTCACAAGTCTGTGAGCCAGGCTGGTCTAGAAACAAAATCAAGAAGATGGACATAGTGAAAGAGTATCCACAGATTGGATCAAGGACACAGTCCTCACAAGACACTGTGAGGACACATCACAAACGTACAGAGCTGACATTGGAAACACTGAACGGAGGAGCTAAGCTGTGCTTCAGATCTAGTCTAAATAGGCACAGACTAGGTTCATGCCCTGAATGCTGGTGTCGTGGCCACACAGGGGCAACAACACCAGGATAATCAACAGAGGGATGATCTCGCTCCGCAACTGCCACCAACATTGCTGCCCTACAGAAAGACCTTTTACAGTTTATTTGATCTTTCTTGGAGACTAAATATCACCTCTTCATCCTCACCGGTACTCTGCTTCTGCTCAGTCTTCATGCAGCGCCACTGCAAAAACCTTCTGCAAAGAAGACTTAACAGCTTACTTGTCCTTCTCAAGTATTTGCCCTTCTAAAGCTAAAACAGATTACCTAAAAAAATAGCATTACAGTAGCTGTCGTTCTCCTTAGCAAATCACAGACAATTTATGCTATTTAGGAGTGTGCTTTAGCTTAAATCAGACTTCAAAATTTCATCAAAAAGCCTTAAGGTTGCATTTATGTAGCTATTTCCTGATTTTCAGGGTGAAATGTGAGATTTACTGAATTATCTTATGGCCATTTAAAGCAGGAACATTTAGGTAAAAATACCTTTAATTTCAAAATAAGATTGATTTGAAAGACGTGCTAGAAAACCCATTATAAAAATTACATTATTTTAAACTGCCAGATTTTCCTGTTAGGAAACAAGTGTTCTGATCAACCCGAATCCTCTGCAGGTGATTTTCCAACTTAAATGAAATAGGATTTAGATTTCAAAAAGACTTTCTGTAGAATTTCTACTGTTTAATTCAGGTGCTAATGTGAAAAAAAAGAGATTATGATTAATTTAATATTACACTATGGAACATTCTATACCAATGTAACAGAGATCTGAAGAATGGCTTTATACATTTTAGACCTAAATTCATAGTCCTGTCAGACACTGAGGCTTTGCAGGTTATTTCCTTGGTTGCAGGGCTGGGACAGCTCTGGATAATAAAACCCTGGTTTTCCCCCTCAAAGACTCTAAGGTGAAACTTGAAAAAACCCTGCAGCAACCTATTGGGGGAAAAAAAACCACATAAGAACTAACACTGAAAAACAAACATTTTCTATAAAACTGTCTTCAAAAGCAATCCTGCCTCCTCGATTAATCAAAATCTAACTGGACCAGATGCCAGTTTTAACAGGACACCCCACCTCTGCACTTGAGGTTGGTGCTGCCTGTGCAAGAAGGACAGAAGTAAAGCCTTCCCACGATGGTGTTTGTCACCATTATCAGCCACTGGGCTGCCTTTTCGTATGGATTCTTCAATGTGCCACTAACTTGCCAGTCATACTCCCAGTGTCCAACTTTGTCTAAATTCCTGACGTTCAGCAAAGTCACCTAGTTTTCATACGACCTTGTGCAAAATTTCATCTGCAAAGTGATTTTTTTTTCTTATTTGCTTTTGCCTTCTTGTGCTTTCATTAATGTCATTCAAGCTTACTGAAAATATATTACAGATCAGTTCTCCTGTAAAAAGAGTAAATCTGTTTTTAAGATCTCAGTTCACAATTTTCTGCCCCAAAGGAGGAAATTTGCAGGGTGCATTTTGCTGTTGAGCGGTACGTGCTAAGGGCATGTGATTGTGCATACCCACACACCACTTTTTCCAAGTAATTTCAAGCACTACTGGCAATTTTACTTTAATTTAAATTACATAATGTTAGCACGCCAGATCGAGAATAAGATAGTTATTGTCAGCAGAGTAATGAAATATTTTACTGATATCATAAACGAAACAAAACTACATCCATTTTCTCTTTGAACAATCAATACTCTGTAGTTGTGCCTCAAACTATCTCCTGGGGATTTGTTTTAAAAACAGCAGAGAGAAAAACACAGCAGCTTGACACTATCAGCATATGATATTTAGCAGCATTATCATCACTTTAAACACACAGATCCCATCTATGGGTTGTACACAAACATTTTTTTGAATTGCACAGAAGAGAACAATTTCAGCATGTACAATTTTCATCTGCAGTCAAGTACTTTTTATAGTCTTGTATTGGTTGCAATGGCAATGAATATCATATACCTTTCAGAGGTGGAAAAACCTTTAGATTTAAAAACAGTATTTAAAAATAGATATTGTCTGTTTTAAAAGGAGGCAGGGAGCTGTAGTCTTTCCACACCGAAGGCACGCATTGAAACTTAAATAGTGAACCCAGATACCATCCTCCCACGTATCTGAAATGGCTCAAGAGGTGTCCTAGCAAACTAAAAAGCAAAGAGACATAATTCTCATTTAAAATAAAACATGAAGGTAAGCATGAAACACTTAAAGTTGGCAATATTATTTTTTCAGAAACATATAAATATTTCTACACAATTAAAAGTGAGAACATGAGAAAGCCTGGTCAACTTGTATTAACAAAATCTCCAACACTTGGGCTACCAGGTAATACAACTTGTACTGAAGAAGAATATTCTAAAGAAACCAAAACCCTACCTTGCCCAGCTATTTTTTCCCAAATGAACCTACACAGGAAAATGGATCAGCTAGTATCACACAACATGAAAAGCTGGAAGAAAGTGCAAGGTTATTTGCCCCCAAAACACATGCAAAGGACTAGGACATTTAGCTAAGCCATTCAAGTATGCCTGAAATGCTGGGAGGAGAACAGTTTGTGCAACAGGTTACTGATGTTCTGTCGGCCATCACATAGTGATTTATGTTTCATTCTGTTCTGTGATGGCAATGATCCAATATATTTAACACAGTCCTGGGCAGTTTTAAAATTGGAACTGCACAATCATTTGTATGTTACATTTTTCATCTATTCCAAAAATTATAAAAAGGTGAAAAAAACCTCTCACCATTACTTTCAGGGAAATGAAAACTAGATTTTTTTTTTTCCGTCCTTTTTGCATAGGTTGTTTGGACATGGTGCATAAAATGCTGGTCTTGTCAAAATTCTAGATGAACATGCTCCTTTCCTCACACGCAGTGGCATCACTGTGAATTATCCACTGCAGTACAGTTGCAAAAGAGGCAATGACAATTCCCAGGGAAGGGCTTTGGCAGTACAGGGATGTTTTTTCCAAATTGTCTGCATCGCTCATGCCTCAGCCTAACTTAGAAAATTGCTGTGTTATAAGCAGTTGATGAAAAAGAGTTTTTCTTATAGTCTGTGTCCATTTTATTAGGTATTGGTGGTCTAGTCACAGATCATTAGCTCAAATTATTTACTTGAAAAAGAAAATGGTTAAGGAGAGTACTACAGCTTCACATTCACCTGCATGAGCTAACACCAACTTGCAGGAAGCTGCCTGCTCTGGTTATATCACAAGAAATTGTTGAATCCTCTAGTTTTTTCACCAGCAGTAATGGGGGATTTGCAGTTTGCTAAGTATAGACAAGATTGACAGCTCCTGGATCAGCAAAACCAGTAACTAAGCGCTAGTCTTCCTGGGGCTAACAAAGATGTGCCCTCAGCTCAGCTGGTCTTCAGTTCTGCAAGCCCAATAAATAAACCTGTATGTAAGATACCTTGTCCCAGGTCTGTTCCAAACTACTACATGGTTGGCATGCATCTCAAAAGCCACATCTCTTTAGAGCAGCTTCAGCTGCCAGTGTCAAGTGAAGACTCCACCTTACACTGTCTTTAATCTTTATAATAATTGTCTAAATCTTGTAAGGTTTACAGTAGACTAGAGTGGGCGTAGATGTGTGTTGGATAATTTGGCAGGGGAGAGGGTGGAGCAGAAGGCATATTCCCCATATTAAATGCTGTTACACTACATTAGAAATAAAAATAAAGTGAAAATCTGTACAAAAGCAAAAAGCAATAAGGGCTTACATTTACACCATAAGAAGCCCTTTTCAAGCCCAAGCCTGTTTTTACAGTCTGATGTTAAGACAGACACTACATTCATGGGGAGAACAGCTAATGATAAGCTGGATAAAAAGAAATGCACCAGTAACATTACACAAGCACACTGGCTTTCTACATGCAAGGTTTATAGTGGGAGCCAATTAACATGGCCCACACCCCAATATCTGCCCTTAGAAAAAGGTGGGCTTCAGTAACCCTGAACACAGGAGCTGCTGTGTTGAATCAAACGCCAGTTTACCTGGTCCAAAACCCTGCCCTTGACATCCGTAGCAGATGTATCAAGTGATGGTGAAAGCTTATGGGATTATAAACTAGCACACGGCATCAGGTGCCAAGCTTTCAAATCCCTAAGTGGCGAGAAAAAGGTTAAATTCATTCCTTTTAATGCAGTTCTGGTTTGGTCATATTTAGACTAACCTACTGCACATGGCACACAACTAGATACAGTGTATGAGAACAGACTCTCCCAATTTTAAAATACTTATATTTGACCAGGAAACGCTCTTCATACTTTACCTTGCTAAATCACTTCTTTTTTACTCTCTCCACACAACAAAACCACTACAAGTTACCACAAGCAGCTTGCGAGCTGGCTCAAACTAGATTTAATAAACAGATAATGCATCCTGTCAGCCCAGATTGAGAGGTAATTCCCAAAGTCTGCTCTAAGTCACGACCCAAGGTTGTTTTTTTTTTTTTCTGCTGTGGTGCACACCAGTTTGTACACCTAAATTCCTAAAACTCTGAAAAAACTGATTAGAAACCCAAGCATTAAAAATCAGAGTGAAGAAGGGCTCTGTACCTCTGCTTGAATACTTGTGACTGATCCTGCAATTCCATTCTCGGCGCTTATGTTATTGGAGCTGTTGTTTGGAGAGCTGGGACCAGATCCAGGAGCACTGTTGCATGCAGAGTCTAAAAACACATTCAAACCCAACTTTTAGTGCTACAAACAATCTCTGCAATGGTATTTAGACAGGTAACAACCCCTTGAGTTTTGTTTTGGAGGAAAGCAATCCTCTTCCTCCCCATTTTCCCTCCTAAACCTTCCCAGGGCTCTTAAAACACTTTCAGCTGGTCTGTCCAAGTACCTACTTACCATATTTATGTCTTCTCCTCATGGGGATTTCTCTTACAGTATATTAATAACTCTAAATATGATTGGAAGATAATGAAAGACATGGAAGGCTTGAAGAGGCAAAACTGGAGGATGTCAGATTGTCTTACCTTCATGTTTCTACAAATGCTTCTCTTACCCTCTTTAGCCTATAACCTTAACAACACCCTCTTGCCATATATTGCATCAGACTTCATGCTGGAACAACCAGGGAACTGTCTCAGCATTGACATTTTCCCATGCAGGCTTTTGGTGCATCTGGATTTACTGGAAATATGCTGACAGCACCGAGCCTTCATGCTGATTGTGCATGAGAGCTGACCTCTGCTTTTATAAAGAAGCACTGGTGCAGGTTCTGGTGCAGGTGATCAGGCACAGGTGATGTCCCCATCCCTGTCACCTGAGAAGTGCCCACACCATGATGGGTCCTTGGAGAAACACGACCTGCCTTGGGCTGCCTTTCACACACAACAGCTCCCATGGCACTGAGCTCCCCAAAACTGCCTAGGGATTGACTCACAAGGATGATATTTTGCCAGGATGGCACATTAAATCACTTTAAGAGGCTTAAAAGCTGCCTGATTGACGTGGGACTGGACGGACAACTGGCCATGGTCATGGCTGAGTGCATTTTACAAAAATCAGGCAAAACTCTGCAGGGTCCAAAACAGTAAATCTGTTTCAAATCACTGCCTTTTTTTTTTTTTTTTTTTTTTTTTTTCTTTTGTAAGTCTTCTCCACTCAGGGAGTAAAACAGTTTCTCATTGGAAAGACCCAAGGCAGAGTTAATCCCTTAAAATAATTCTGTTATCACCTGGACACTCAGAAAATCCTCTCAGCTTTGTGTATTTTATCAAGACGTTCCCTGTGAACTCACTAACCAGAACCACAGAGATGACCAGCCTGAAATCAAAGCCTCCCCATTAATGATGCAGAAACAACAAAGAAAAACAGTGCATGAAATTGCAACAGCCAGAAAAATTCCCTCAGAAGGACTCTCACCTGTGCCATACTGGTGTATGGCACAGCTTCCACTGTTTCTCCTTTTATTTTGGAAGGTAAGCAAGATTAAAAGTTTTTTTCTAAACTTTACTCCTCCCCAAGCACAGGATTTGCCCCAACGCCCAAAGAATCTCCCAGTGGCTGCAATGGTTCAGGCTGCATCAATCTCATAATTGCTCTCAGATGCTCCAGTTGAAACAAAAGTCAATTGTTACAATTTAGGGTATTTTAAAAAATTATTTCTTTTGTGGCATTATTCTGTACGTACTATTTTGCTATTTTGATCCTTACAAGCACTTCCAGCGAAGTAGCAAAGAGATTATATTCTTTTTTATAAAAGAAGTCTTGTTGCTTTTTGTTGGCTGGGCATTTGGGGAGGCATCTCGCTATCAAGAAAACTCAGCACTAACACCCAGCTGAGCACCTAACATTGAACTTCACTGTGGAAAGCAGCTTCAGAGAGTCTTGGTGTTTTGAAAAAATATGCTGATTGCATGGAAAATGCGTGCTTTTTCTGGGATCATGTCATTAATTACAACATACTAGATCTTGTGCATGCTACCTAGACATAGGAAAAGTACCTGGCACTTTCAAACTGTGACTCTGTGAAGATGTATTCTTGAAGAATTAAACATAACTTCTATTCCCTGAAGTAGGTCTTCTTTTAAAAGTTATTTTCCATTCAAAAGTCTGCTCTTACTGTAACAACTCAGATATTTTTCTAGCCAGGCTCCAGGCTGGCTTCTTGAGCCAGGTCCACGCTCAGCAAGAAGCAGGAGCTTCCACTGCCACTTCTGAAGGCATGACTGGGACCAAACGGTCAGCCATTAGGGCTTGATTTATCCTAAAAGCCGCAAGTCATATAGCAATATACGAGGAGCAAAGTGAATTTGATTTCCAGATCTGACATAAATTATGCTTAGCTGCCGAAATCATCTATTCCCTCTGCAAACAGAGAGGCTCTGACACAGAGCGGTGCGTAGCTGCCCCAGGGTCTCCCAAACCCACGTGGCTCTCTAAAGAGAGCTCACTTTGAGTTTGTTTGAATGATGACAGTGTACCTTAAATAGTGAGACAAGTCTGGAAAAGCTGTCACAGAGTGGTACTTACACAGAGGCATCCCTAGATGGTGCTAAGAATTAACTTTATGGTAATCTACATAGTCTGCTTTACTCTGATCCCTCCTTACAAACTTCAGTCCCAGAAGAATACTATTTTTCAACAACAAACTGTCAAATAAGTAGTCAGAAATATCAGCTATATTTATTAAAAAATGCCTTACGTGTTTTAAAACTTTGGTGTAATTATTTAACAAGGAACTATGGCAGTCTGCCCAAAGCCTAAAACAAACAGGGGTTATAAGGCATTTACTGCTGGAAGATGACAGCCATGAATTACAGCCTCCCCATGGATATTAATAGGATATTAATAAAATTTGAGAATTTTATTTTTCAACAACCTGTTGCTAAAAATCACAGAAATGCTTGGGGTGTGTGTGTGAAATAGCACATTGGTGGCAAATCTACACCTATCTATGCATGTCTTAAAATGAACTGCAAAAAAACTTTGAGTTGGTAACGCTGTCTCAATAGATGGGTACCCAATGGACCAAAGCTGCTGACGCACACCTGCATCACCCACGGCTGAACTCTGCCAACTTCACCCAGGTTTCGTCAATGCTGAAGAGGCACATGAGAGACCCAGACTGCGCAATTAACTGGAATGCAGGAATTAACTTTGGAAAGGGACATCTCATTGAATATGTGGCTGCCAGCACAGATTTGTTGCTTACCCGACGTACCTGTGACATCCAGTGGGCGCTTCTTAAGAGCAGTAACTACCGGACCATCCTTTCTACGCAAGAGAGGGCTGCTCCTTCTTTCAGCAACTTTTTGCTTTAGTCTGGATCGTAATTTCAGATTGGGTTCAGATGCTGAGCAGAAAAAAGAAAAGCAAATAGTGCTTTGGTTAATATTATTTCCATCGTTCTTTTACTCTACGCAAAGGCTGGGTTGCAGTTCAGCATTTCCAGAAACCTAAACAAAATTAGGCATTTGATAGCATATATTTGGAACAAAGACTTCTTAATAATGAACAGGTCCCAGCCTATTTTATATCTGAATTCACTGGCAATGAAAGTCAATAGCATTTTAATCAAAAAATAATAACCATCCTGCAATGTCTTCTCTCAAGTGAAGACACAAACTTACAATCTGCTGCGAACTCATTTGGACTACTGCAGAGAGCACCATTCACATCCCCTAGTTTCCTACCTCTGCCCAATTTGCTTCCAAACCAGTGGTAAACCTAACTCATGGGATCTAAAAAAATCAATACTCGTGAGACTACTGAGATGTTGCTGTTTGGTCAGCGTGGAGCATCATCATGGGGCTGAGACACTATCTGAGACATATTGCTGACATGGGCAGCTCCACACCCTTGGAGTCATCCGACCCCAGGGTGAGCTGGTTTACGGAAGTACACCAGGAGGGGGGGAAAGAAAGCATGAAAATCAAACCCCACAACCAAAATAGGTGAGTATTTTCCTGCTGGTTCACGTTGCTGAAGCAACTAACCTGGGAGTCAGATGAGCCTGTGTCAACCGGAGCCAGTGTCAACTCAAGAAAAAGGTCATGAGAGTGTGGCCAAGGCCAGAGACAATGCCAGGGAAGAGGTGGTTTATTTATTTGGGGAGCAGAGCGCTTACATCATTACAGCCAAAAAGTTAAACCATATCTAAACCCACATAAAATACTTTGAAGATTCAGGGCTGACAAAGATAGGTACACGTGTATTTCCTGAGACCACAGTCTGACTTGCTTTGTGTACATCATACCTTTGAAAGACTTTCTTAAAAACTTCTGCTGCACCCAAATCCTGAGATTTAATTTCTCCAAAAGTCAAAGCAGAGCTCCTGAGAATCCCTAATGCCTCTGGGTTAATGACAGCTGGCAATACCGAACACATTTGCATGACACAGCTTATAAAGTTTTTATAAAGGTAATGAAGCCTTAAGTCAAGATTCCTCATGCAAAATAATTCTCTCTGTAAACTTTCTGATCTCTTGGCTATACATGAAATATCTGCTTTGGCACTTGAGGGTTCTTGACAGTTAGGAGATTTGTGAACTGGCCCAATCTTTCCCCTTCCTCAACCTCTTAACAACTCTGCAGCTTAATCCTCTTGAACCGGCAAATCCTGTGCTCTCACCATTAACGACCGATATACTCGGCTCCCTGTACTCCAGGGCCAATAAACTACATTTCTTTAGAAGAATTAGAATAGAGTTTGACCATTGGGTCACATAAAAGATCAAGCCTGACAATGTTAATTGCAGGGCTCAAAAATCAGAAGGCCAATGAATTCAAGATCAAATGCTTCAAGTTAAGCCATCAAAACAGTTCTTTGATGAAACTTTTGGGAGGAAAAAAAATAAAGAGCTTTTCATGTCTGTTTTGGACAGAAAAATGCCAGCAAGAGATAAAGGGAGAGCTAAAAAAAGTGTCAGCCTCCTCAAGATGATGCTTAAAATGCAGTATGAAGTGCCTTAGCAAATGGGGGAATCATCTTATAGGGCATTTGCATATAAAATGGCAGGGGACTGAATGCAAATCTGTCATTTGCTCAGAAGGCAATATTAGAAGAGCGGACTAGTTAAAATACAAGCATACACTCTAACTAGCTACTTTGTAAAGTTCTCTTCAAAACAGAAGTTGATTTACTATTTTAAAAGTAGTGGTGAGGTATGTGAACACGCGATACCTCATCCCACATTCTTTAATTCACAGCTTTAATTTGTTCCAAATATTGAGTATTAGTAACTGCCTAGATGCTCCAGTCAAGACCTGAAAGAACAAATGGGAACATGTCACAGCTAGATGCCGATACATCCATTTTAGGTACATTTGCACTGCCAACCAGTAAATGAAATATAAGCCTATGCCACAGCTGTTGAAAGGATCTGTCTTCTGACAAAGAAAAACATGACAATAAAAACTGTACTTCAGTGCAAATTTTATTCATACGCAATTTATACCCTGCATGCTGTTCACCTGAAGTACGTTTTCTGTTGGGAACAGACAAGTAATTGTGCGGCTTTCAAATACAGAGAATGAATTGGTTAGAAACACCTTAAAAATAGGCAGGGAAACAAAAGATCTGGGGTCACAGATTACCCAACACGACCAGATACGTCCCATATGTAAAGCCACAACAAATACATCCTTCCATGTAACACGAAGGGAAAGAACACAGCAAATTACAGCCTTAAAAGAGGCAACACCTCAACAGTAAGTTATGGCAAAAGCAGCGTATTATAATTTGTCACACAAAACTATTTTCAGGCAAAACTATTCTGTATATTTCTCCTTCACTTCCTCAGCTGGAGGATCACGTTTTGAAACACCAAAAAGTGTATTTAAGGAACTGCATTTATTTAGTTCACTCTGATTTTGTTCCCCCAGATATAATCCCAAATCTAACATGTCCTCAAGACGTCAGAGAGCATAATCCCTACATACATTTAATTGGGTGCTATATAGACTAGATTAGGCAAATCAAAATTCAGCGCAGGCAGTGCAGAACAGTCTCAAATTCAAAAAAATTACATATAGCATGTTTTATAATAAAAGATGTGGCTGTCGACAGAGACATTTCCAAAATGCAAAACAATAATTTAAGCTTATTCAGATGGTTTTAAAACTACTACATAATAAAAACCATTTTCAAACTGAAGAGAGCTGCCCTTTAAAGGTATGAAATTTGAATTTAAGCAACACCTTAACTACCAATACCACACAGTCAACACAAGTTCAGTGTTCTTTCAGGAACACCAATTCCACTGAAAATCTCCTGATATTCACCTGTCAGGTAACATGCCCAAACAAAGCCTTGCTCCCCATCACTGCTAACTAGCATAAACTTATGAGAACTGGAGACTAAATTACAAAACTTACTGATCTTCTACATCTTAAGGTGAAGTCTTTTAAACAAACGCTGTGAAGTTATCAAAAAATCAGTTTGATTCTTGTTTAGCAAACAAATGAAGCTCATGCTGAACTCTGAGTCAGCTTCCACAAAGCCAGTGGGATTTCTTAAGCAGTGACATACTTAATTTGGCCTATAATAAGGATTTATAGAAAGAATATTATGGTTTTCTCTAAGCGATTAATAACAAGAACATAAGCCAAAAGCTTCCCTAGTTTTCACAGGCTCAAACCCAAGTCACCCCTCTTACACGTCACTTATTGCAGCAGGACCCATGTAATCCAATTCTTCAACATTTATGTCATTCTCATTGTTTTCTTCCTAGAATTGCATCCACTAAGCTGCTGAACTAATCTGACATTAAATCTGTGTAAGTCAAAAAACACAAAGTCCTGGGCAGAGTTTACCCCGTTCCCATTACCCATCCACATTTATGAAAAAAAACCCCAAACAACACACCATGAAAACCCTGATCTCAGCCCTTGCACATCTTAATTTTGGCAGCTGGGGACTGAGAAAGGCTGTTATTCTTTTATTATTATTTTTAAGCTCCATACTAAGCCTCACCAGCCAGGCAAAGGCCAACACAATTACGTTGTCTCTCTTCTAACGTCCAGGTCACCCCTTGGGTAACCACAGGAGAGGGAGACAGACAGCTGTCTGAAACTAGCCTTTTGCACAACCCAAAATTTGAATAAAGATGAATTATCTTTTGCTTAAGCAGGGGAGACCACACGTTTTGCTGTTGAGCATCTGCTCCCTACTCTGCGGCTTCTTTGCTCCCTGCCTGATCTATCCCAGATCTTCATTACAGCTCCTCCTTGTGCACAGTGTTCTCTCTCATCTCCAAAAATAGTGGATTGTGACCTATCTAGTCAGGCGGACCTGGTAAAGCTGGAATTGGCAAAATTCATCTATGGTCAAACAAAAAGACTGAAAATCATTTCACCGTTATCCCTCTGAAGCCCAAGCGAGCCGATGTTCTTGATTTTTAATACTTGTAGGCATTGACATAGAGGGGGACAAGAAGAAGAGGGTCCCACAAATGTACCTAGTGGGGACAGGTCGCACAGGGCAAAAGTGGCAGCAGAAAATTCCCAAACTAGAAAGGAAAACAAGAATTAAAACAAGACAGCCTGTTCTGCAGAAACAAACTATTTTTTATGATCTTGGTACCATGTTGGATGGCATCACCTGAAATAATACATCTAGGAACATAGGGGAACGATTAGAAAGGGCTAAAGATATTTGCTGGATTTTCCTCCTTTTCTCCTTACTCTGTGTTGGCGTGAGCACTGCTTAAGAGCTCCGGGGAAGGACTATTTATGGAAATACTGTGTCCTTAAAATGAAAATTTATTAAAGGCCAATATTTGGCACTTTTCATGCTGAAGTTTAATAGTCACAGCATCTCAGGAGTAGAAAGAAGGCTTTAACACCCATTAACCTGAGCATGCAACATCGACACTTTTTACAGCTTCACTATCATTTGCTTGCCTGACTACAAAACCATGAAAAATCACAGCGTGATAGAGCACCACAAAGGTTTCCTAAGATTTCCAGTTCCAAACCTGGACTAGAAAAAACAAACACGTGGAAATGCCGCGTCTTGTCTGTGTCTTTCCCTTTCCAAAGCCTAAATAAAGACAGCAGCTTTGCACAGTTCAAAGTATTATCTGAGAGGAAAGATGAGACATGGAAGGCAATAAGGAATAGAAAGGAGGTCCTCCAAGCGAGTTTCTCCAATAAAGCATTTAAAACAGCACTGAATTCTGTAGAAGGCAGGAAAACCCATGCAATTTCTGACAGCAACCAAAAAGCAGCTGTGCCTGTAGCAGAGGGAGCTATTGACTGCTTGAAAGTGAGGGCAGGGAGCAGCTACAACATCAGGGAGACCCCAGCAAGTGGCCCATGGTGACCACAGCTCTTGGGGACAATCTTCTTACAT